CCAGTGTCAGCCCTTCTAAGCCTCTTCCTCAGTTCAATCGTGTTGAGAACATGCAACGCTTCATGTGAACAATTTATTACAATGCAGAGCAGATATGATTTAAACACAAGGAGCACAACTCAAGTTGAATGTTCTTATGATTAGTCATACACGTCCACAAGGTCACAGGCTCCAGGTCTGAATTCCAGGAGATAGTGGGCTACTCGCTCAGATTCCATACCTGCTCTCCTCTTCTGCTTTTTTCTCTTCTGCTTTTCTCGTGTGGTATGCGCGATTATTCAGACATAGGACCCTGTCATTCCACAGTTGCTTGCGGAAAGCCTCAGGTACTTTATAGTGTTTGAAGAAGCACTGGAAAATCAAATTTAAGCAATTATGTGAAGTTTGAAATCGTCAGCATTTACAGAGTCTGAGAATTTACAGAGCCCGTGGAAAAACTGTCGCAAATTTCACCTCACCTCTTTGATGAAATCAATCTTTGCTTGGTCACGACGTTGATTAATAGGCTGATTCCTCGCCCCAGTGCTATCTTTGTAGACCAGGGTTTCTAGATCAAGCACGAACTGGTTCATATTCTGTGCATTTACTGTAGCCAGCGCAGCTACCTCGCTTTCGCTGACGTAGGCATAAATTATACCGCCTGAAAAGTTATATCACCCTAAGGAGAAAGAAGTTAAAACTCGAAGGTGGAGCCGCCACCGAGGATCAGACACTTCAATGCGCATTAACAACCTCACCTTGATCTTGATCTGGAGCGTTTCTTCTTGGATTCACAGGTTCTTCTTTGCGGAACTGTTTTCTTTCGAACTGCTTGGGCTTTGCAGCTGGCACCACTGGTGGACCCTGTGTTGTCATCCTTAATCGGAACAAAGATCAGAAAATAATTAGGAAACCCATGAACAGAAAGCAGTCATGAAAGTTTCACCACCTCTGGATTATGGCCGCTATTTGAGCCATGGCCTCCTCCATCCTACTCAACTTCTCCGTTAACTGCTCCATCTCCAGTAGAGAAGCCTGATAATCTAGAGAGTATAAATAAATAAGTCATGAAATAACATTTTATTTATTACACTTTAACACATTAACCACAGCGTAGCGCGATAAGCGTCCTACTTTGCACTCCTCGGGAACTGCGACGCGGTAACGCGTCCCATTCAGGTCATCCCTTTTTTTCTCGCGCTTTCGCGATTTATTACCAGATTAGTCCCCCGTCAACCGCCGGGACCTTCCTTTCCTGCGCAAGCTTTCTATCCTCCGCTATGGTCCCTTCCTCCTGTGACACCAACACCTCTGGAAGTGACGCGTATGCAACACAATACAGTAGAAGGGACACAATCATGATATGACGGTAGATTTTTCGCTTCCCTTCCTCATCCTCCCTTCCTCTCTCCACTGCCCTCCAGCTGCCACTGCAGCACCATGTGGAATGAACGGAAGTGTGCTAAGCAGGTGTTTATATAGCCCTAAGAGTGTTATCACAACTATCCTGCTACAAAACATTGATATCTCAAATCCTGTAAGCTACCCGATTTGTTAGCGGTTTGTTTATCCCATGAGCTTCCTTCTCACTCACTTCATTTTGCGGACGGACACACATACATACATACACACACACACACACTCACACACACACATACAGATACACAAACCGACACACAAAGTTAGCGCTTTATAAATAGAAGGATATGGGATTGATTATATTAATTCCATCTATCACACTGTATACAAAATATTTCACGGTATGGTTTTCCGTATGATCAAATATGCTTCAGTTTACAGAGGTCTTCTGAACGCTACGAAATTGACAGTTCGCTTCATCCCTCGTTTTCTTATTATTGTCATGGCCGTATAATTAACGAGTAGTAGTAGAAGTGAATACCAACCCACGTGAATGGAAAAATGAAT